CCCTCTCTCTCTCTCTCTCTCTTGCGCGTGCACACGCTCCTTCCCTGGGCCTGTAGGTACATGCTCCTGCCTCCTGCAACTGGTTGGACCTTGCACCTGCCTTGCCTTGCCTTGTCTTTTCTTGGACGTTGAACCTTGACCTGGACATGGAAGTCACCGACCTCCGCCTCGGACTATCAAGTCTGGCCTGTCTGTTTCTGTCATCAGCGTGAGAGAACGCCAGGCGTGTCTCTTGTTTCTCTTATCCGCTTCGTCTGCCGTCGCTTGTTTGCTTTCTCCATCCCATTCGTCTCTTAATGCCAGGACGTCCCTTTTCCTTCCCTTCCATCTCGGTCCTTCCTTGGTCTCACACCCCTCCCCTGCAAAGAACCTATCTTTTGCTCGTCGTCGACCTGGCAGCGGGATCCCTTTCAAGAAGAACCGCAAGACGGAAGAGAGTGACGACAGACCTGTCCACAAGCCCGATATAGCAGCACCGACACCTGCTCTTTCCTCCGGAGCAGCCTACGCTTTCACCACCACATGGCACCTTTCGACTCCAACCACCTGATACAAACAGCTCTCTACGAATCCAACGCCTACGCCGCCTGGTGCTGAGCAACTCTCCCTCCCTCTGTTTCTGCTCGTGCCCTCTCTGCCACCTCTCCCAGCAACGCACACACGCCTCGCCATTGTCGAACTCGATCCAGCGCCGCAGCTGCCCGAACGACAAGCAGAAGCTCTGCCGCCCAGCCGAACGAACCCCTCGACAGCCTCTTCACGATACCCACCGACGCCGAGCTGCTGCGTTAGACTGTGCCATGGGCATTCGATAGAAGACGGGTCATTGAGTCACCAACGCCGTCCTGACTGGTTGCCGCCACGTCAAATTCCTCTTTGGCTCTTGTTGTTGAGCAACGGGAAGCTACCGCCGCTTCCATTGACGTCCCTCCTGTGCCATGTGCAGGCTTTAGAAGACCGTCTTCCCCCCCCCCCCTGACTTGTCTACATCGCAAACATCCTCCTCCAGTCCAAGGCTTGCTACCACGTATACTCTGAAGGCCTCCTTCGTCCATGCCGAAAATCGACCACACCATTCACCAATCCCTCTCTCTACACGACATCTTCGATCGGCCTACTAGATGTGTTCGACCGCTGTCTCCAGAGCGGCCTTTTACCCCATATCCTCTTTCAACCACCGTTCGAACGACCAGTTTTGTCACCAGGCTGCCCTGCGCCTGAGCAACCGCCCCGACTTCCGACATCCCGTCCCACAGACTAGTCAGAAGCGTGGCCTGCAGACACCCCCATCCGACGACATGACTACCACCTACCAGCCTCCCATCGTGGGCCCCTACGACAATCATGTTCTCCCCTCTTACTCCTCCACTCTCCCGCATGTACGTGGCTCTGTGCCGTCCATGAACGAAGTTTCCCGGGCGTCACAGTATCCTAGATATGCCCAGCAGCAACCGCAGCAACAGCAAGCCCAGCTGCAACAGCAACAGCAACAGCAGCAGCAACAACAACAACAACCATACGCACACGCTACAAATCTGTCCCAAAATCCTGCGTCGGGCATTTCTCAGTACTCCACCACCTCAAAACACTCCACACGTACCTCAACACCTGCTGCTGAGGGTAGCATGTCTTCACAGAACGGCAGCACCTCAAGGCGGGGCTCACAGGCCTTGATCCACCACAGCCTTCACGTGCCAAGCTGCATCAACCCCAAGGGCGGCAACCTGGCTGATTTCGCTGCGCAGGTGGGTGACCCAAAAACGACTGCGGTGTTGCGCTGGTCGACTGTGCTAATTCGAAGATAGATTACTTGCCTCTTCTGGTTCGAATCGATGGATACCCTGCGAGCTGCGGAAAATGTCAGGTCACGGCCTGCATCAGCAACAGTACCAAGGCTGACGAAGCACGCCATTCCATACCCTGCTTTCAAGAAATGGGCGTACGGCGTTCTATCGACTACTCAGGTCACGCAGAGTGTCATATTACTGGCTCTACTCTTCGTTTATAGGTTGAAGATGACTAACCCAGCGGTCAAGGGCCGCTCTGGCAGCGAATACAGGCTGCTGACGGTGGCCCTCATGTTGGGCAACAAATGTATGCATGGCCCCCCTCTGCTTTTCATACATCGGCGACTAACGCGGACTAGTTCTGGACGATAACACGTACACAAACAAGACGTGGGCCGAAGTCTCGGGCATTTCCGTCCAGGAGATTCATGTCATGGAGGTCGAGTTTCTGAGTAACATGCGGTACAGCCTCCTGGCCACCAAGGACGAGTGGGAAGACTGGTTGGCCAAGCTCGCCTGTTTTTCCGAATACTACGAGCGTGCCCTCAAGCAGCCGACGTCTCCAATCGCCATGTCATCACCGACGTCCAAGGCGCTCTTCAGTTCTCCCCTACCATCACCCACCCGGGCCGCCCAGACCACGTCGACGATCCCTGCTCTCCCCGCCTCGGCTACCCCTGTCTACCACAGCAACGTCAACCCCTCCCATGGCCAAGCGTGGCCTACTAGCTATCAGAATCCCGCCCTGTCGCCGCTGCCTGCGAACACCCACGTTAACATGATGTCGAAGAAGAGGGCACACGAGGAGGACCCGACAGAGCCGCCTGCGAAGCGCCTGAATGTGCAGTCGAATGCGATGCCCCCTGCACGACCCCCCGTCGTGGGCGAGCAACCGATACGGCTGCCAGTGCCGAATCTGTCCCTCAACACCAACACACCAACTCCAGGCTCCGTGCAATACATGACACCGACTGCCTACGCGCCTCCTTCCCACGTCTCGCTCCCACCATTGGTTCCCGGTGTACGCGCCATGTCGAGCGTCTACCCCGCAAACGGGCCTGTGCCACCAGCGCAGCTGCCACTTCCTTCGACGACCGGGTCTGTCATGCCGCAGGCTACTCTCACGCCGACGATTGGCATGCCAGTGCACCCAAGCATGAGCTATGGAACTCCGAGCCGGCGCCACAGCCCCGGCACTCTGGCGGCGTTTGGATCATCGCCTCTGGGCGACATGTACGGATCTGTCTCGGCAGTACACACGCCCATATCGCACACACCCATCTCTCACTCGCCTAGTGTCTATCTCCAACAGAGGCCCAGCCCGTATAAGCCGGTACGCCACGTCAACACACTGCTGTACCCACCTCCGTCCGCCTCTCTCCACGAGTACCACATGTCCGCGGCAGCGGCGCCACAGATGCACTATCAGCCTCTCGGCCGCCGCAACGACCTGCGAACCGGCGTCGTTCCAGAGTACATGACACTGGGCTATCGCAGTGCGCAGCCTGTGCAGCAGATGATGCCGCACGGCCAACAGGGCCACCATCTCAACTAGGTCGAGGAAGTGCCACATGGCATTTTTCTTGTCCGTTGCTACTTTTTTTTCTTTTTTTCCCCTCCAAAACAATTATGCATGGCTCGGCGTTTTTATTCTTTTCGTAGTCACATTGCTGAAACGGATGCTATGAGTCTCAGGCTTTGGCTTTGTATTTTGGGACAGGGCATGCAATGGCGAGACAAGATCATGAGTGGTCATTCTAGAGCTGCCACTCTCGGCGTTGGACACATGTATCAAGTAGGACAGAGGAAATGCAGAAGGAGGGGTCAAGAGAAGCGCCTGGGGAATGCCCACCCCGTCAAAGCGCAGGGAAACAATGTTAGATTCTTGCGCACGTCAGCGATGACAGTAGCAGCATTAGATAGCAGCACTCTGTGCCATGCAAATCAGTCAAACAAGATGATGCCCGGTGAGAACATGACGAGTACATTGTCAGTGGGCGTAGCGAACACACAAAGCAGAGAGGGAGAAAGTCAAACCAGAAGGGCAAACCAGAAGGGCAAACCAGAAGGGCGCTTTCTCTGTTGAGGTACCAGAATCGACGGCCAAGCCATGCCAAGTGAAAGCTTGTTTCCCGGCACCCATCCGATCTCCCAGGATGGCCTCCTCGTGGACTGCCTTAGAGTGGGTACGTTGGTTGCACAGCATTCTCGCAGCTCACACTGCAAAGAGCGACATCTAACAGGACGAGACGAGGGGGTCAGGCTAGGTTCGGGTTCTCACAGAGCGAATGAGAAATATCAGCGTGGCGTGCGCCGTGTGACGTTTGTGCGCCTTTTTGACGCCCCCCATCTCTCTCCCCTCTTTTCCCTCTCTCGAATAAGGCGCCGGTCGACGACAGGCTTTGTATGGTTGCCTGCAAGCCGGCTATGCATCAGATCGGAGGGGGAGAGGAATCTCTTTTGTCTGGTGCTTTATCTCTTACTTCAGGGCTGACTGTCTGCCTGACTGACGGACGGGTTTCCGGCCTGGGCTGGACTAGGCCTCCGATGTAAGCGCGGGGCTGTGCCGCTTTTGTGTTTGGTCCGCAACAGGACGACGTGCATGAGGGGTGTGTGTATCTCTCTCTCTCTCTCTTTTCTGATCTCGTCCATGAGAGCCTATGTGAGCCGAGGAAGGATGGGATGGATATAAGGCAGGTCGTTGGGGTTGTGATGAACATGTGCATTTTCCTTTGTGTCACGAGCCTCCTTGTTAGGCAGCAATTCAGTCGCAACACATTGTGCCAATGAATCTCCTTCTCTTTGGCTGACCATTTTGATGTGACAGGATCGACCACGTACGGCAAAGAGGGCACACAGCTATTCGCAGGTGTATGCCACCGATCGGGCTGGGATCGACCCGTCTCATACGAGGGCCAGCCGCAGACGAGAAGACGTGGCGGCGGGCGACGTTTCGGCCGGCTCGCCTTCTTCTTCTTTTTCTTCTTTCTTCCCATTTCTTCCCCTTTCTTCCCCATCCGCTTTTGAGCTTTTGAGGTGTGCCACCTAGGCAGACAGTCCTGGGGTGAAAGCCATAGCCACGACGATCGTTTCGGGTCAGGCCTCTCTCGCCCAAGACGACACGTACTGCGCGGCGACCTCGGTTCACATTTGGAGAGCAAAGATACGGAACGCATACGGAACGAAAGAGGGGGGGGATCAGACAAGGAAGCCATGCCGCGCCGATACGATGACTCCCTCTCGCCCTCGCCTTCTCCCTCGCCCTCTCGCGCCTCCTCCCCCCCACGCCACCGCCGCGCCCGCTCAACATCCTACTCGGACCGCCGGCGGCCGGTCTCCCGCTCGCCGTCGCTGGCGCGCCGGTCTCTCTCGGCCTCGCGCTCGCGGTCGCCGCCGAGACGCGGCGCGCACTCGCGGTCCCGCTCGCACTCGCGGTCCCACTCCCACACGTCGTCCCGCACGTCGCGCGCGACCAGGGTCAAGGACAAGATGAAGGAGAAGAAGGAGATCCCCTACGGCTTCCTCGCCGGCATCGGCGTCTCGGCGCTGCTGCTGCACAAGTACTGGCCCAAGGGCTGGGTGCACGGCGAGGAGAAGTACTGGGACAACAAGGTCGGGCGGGTCGGCGGGCGCGTCGCCGCGGTCGTCGTCGAGAGGCCGCGCGGCGTGCTCAGGGAGGGCCGCGTGCGGGCGGGGCCCGTGCTCGAGGAGATGAGGGAGGGGTGGCGCGAGGAGAGGGCGAGGGAGAAGGGGCTGGAGGTGCCGGAGCCGCCGGAGCCCGAGCCTGCGCCCGAGCGGGAGCGGGAGCGGAGGAGAGGACGGAGCGTGGGCGGAGCCCTGGACCGGGACAGGAGCAGGAGCAGGAGCAGAGTGCGGTACGGACTGGGCGTGGACGACGTGGACCATGTGTATGAGGATCCGAGACGGCCGAGGCGGTTTGCGGGCGATTACGACGACGATTGGGACCGCTTGGGACGGTATCCCGCCGAGCGGTATCCGGACGAAAGGCGCTACCCGGAAGAAAGACGGTACCCAGAAGAACGACGATACCCAGCAGAGAGGCGGTATAGTGATCACTATCGTCGATATGATGTTGAGTACGATGACAGGGCTGGCTGGAGGAGGTAAAGGAGTTGACGTTTTCACGATGTGCGTCCTTGATAACACCGGAAAAGGAACAGATACCTTGATCACCAAGTCATGAAGTTATGAAGCCAACGAGTAGCTGTCTGTTTCTCTACCTACTTACATGTACCACCATGGACGTGTTCCCCAGTTGTGCTGCCCGCTTGAAATGTGTCATGCCATGTCCCCCCAAAAATGGACCAAAATGCTCCCATGCCCGTCTCTCTTACTTACCATCTTCTGAGTCAGCCGCCGCCGCCACCAGTACGAGGCCTCTAGCCTCGCCCAGCCGTCATGGCAAACATGGCCGGTGTGACTGGGTTTGCCCACTCGAAGCTGCTCTCTACAGCTACCTGGGGGGCCTGTGTGTCCTCCTCTTCACCATCTCCCTGAGCCTCTTCCACAGCAGCCTCCGCCCACCCCTTGCCGCCGGTCCGCATCACAAAATAGGGGTTGAGCTTTGCCCCGAAGTAATGCTCCCGCCGCAGCATCGCCCCGCCGTCGAGAGCTGCCGTCCGTGTCTGCCTCAGCCTTTTGCCCGGCCGCACGCTTTCGCTGAGCAGGCTGCTGCGCTGTGTCCCCGCCATACGTCGGTCATGCGCCACAATGCCTCGAACAAAGGGCGCCACATCAAGCGTGATCAGCCGCATCGTGCGGTCGAACACGGACGGATCGAGGAAGCTCGCCGGCACGATGGAATGTCGTTCGGAGATGGCAATGGGGTCAAACGCCAGCGCCATGTCGTATCGAACGATGGGAATGTCCTCCTCCGCGGGTGCAGGCTGGCAAAGCTTCTTGATGACATCGGACGGCGTGATGCAGCCCATCGGCGCATGGTGCGTCTCTCGGCTGTCGTCCGCGAGCTGGCGCGCACCGCAACGAAGCGAGATGGCGACCGACGTGCAGAAGGGCGCGTGGTCTGTCACCAGCGGGGCTTCCAGCAGGCGCCGCCCGAGTGTGTAGTCTTCGCGAGCTTTCGCCGTGCTATCGGGCTGTGTCGCGTCCAGATTTTCCTGTTGTCTGGTCAGCTGGTGTCGTATCTGAAGGATGCCATGCTCCACGTACCTGAAGACCGACCCCGAACCGACCATCGGAGCAGAGGTCGGCGGCGCTCATCATGTCGGCAAACCGTTCGTAGACGTCAAGGGCTGCGAGCCTTTCGCTGCGGCTTGCACTGCCCATGCGTCCTGCCCAGGCAGCCTGATCCCTCGTTTCGTGCCAGTTGCTGAGGTCCATGCCGAGGCTGTCCCAGCTCTGCAGGAGCAGTTCGTCCTCTTCGCGTTGCGAAGGACCTAGCGACTCGGCGCCGGCGAAGCCCATGCCCTCCAGATATGTGCCCTGACTGACAACACGCACGACGTGGCCGTTCTCATCCTTGTCGCACCCCCTCGGCCACCGCGGATAGAACCATTCGAAGCCGCCCCGTCGGTCGCCAACGCCTAGCTGGCACCAGTAGTTGAGCTCCGTCAGAGAGGCCCGGATGTCGCCGCCCCTGGACTCGAGCAATGCCTGCACAGCTGGCCTGCGGAGGGCGTGACCCTCATTCGCCGCAATGAGTAGCATGACATCCAGTGCCAGTTCGGTCGGCGGAGGGCTGAGGCGGAATATGCCGTGTAGGTTTAGTGTCTGTATCGGGATCAGACTCTCGTCGTTGCAGGTCATGATGAACGGGCGCTTCGACTGCGCAATCAGCGTCGTGATGGTCGTCCAGAATTGCTTGTCCTCCTCGTACAACACGTCCGCCTCTTCGATGAGAATCAAAGATTGCTTCTGGGACTTGGGTTGCGTGGTCTTTGGTTTCTCCGCCTCCTCCTGCTTGTCACCAGATGGTGCTGCATTCTGCGCAGGCGCAGGCGCAGGCGCAGCAGGCGGCGGGGTTGTCGCGAGGGTTGGCGTGCTGGGTTTGGTGGGCTTGGGCTTGAAGAAGGACATGACGGTGCCTTGTTTTGCCGACTTGACATCCTTGGCTGTGGGCTCTTCTGCGTCGCCCTGCTTGCTGTCCTGATGTCGTTGCACGAGGTGATTGCGCGTCATGTCGCCCACCTTGTCCAGCACATCTTTCCCACTGCGTCGACTGCTCGAGTTGATTTCAAACACCTCGAAACCCAGCTCCTTCGCAATGGCGTAGACGGCGGCCGTCTTGCCCGACCCATGCGGTCCGCTGATGAGTGCTGCGTTGGCCACCCTCGGCATGTCCTTGCCGCTCTTGGGCATGTTCTGCATGATGGTCTGCTTCGGCGCGAGCGGGACATTGTCATCTTCGGGCTCGGTGATCTCGTCGGGGTCGTACGAAGCGTCCTCATCGCTGGAAACCACAAATCCATCCAGCTTGCCACGCTTCCGTTTCTTCTTGGGCCCGGACACGGCCGCCTTCACAGTCGCGGGTTTCTGATCCACAGTGATACCTGTGTCAACAGATTGCACCTTGAGCATCTCCAACCAGTCCCTGAGCCAGATGGCGTCCCGGCCGACTTGTAGCACCTCGGCTGCTGTTGCTGGGGCGTATTTTTGCACCCAGGCCAGGTCCTCGCATGCGGATCGATCGAACGCCGACAAACTGGTCGAGAGTGATTTGTACAGACGTGAGACTGCGGCATGCGGTGCCTGTCTCGTCGCAGTCACAATTTCGTCGTCGCTGTCGTCGTGTAGACTGCTTCTTGGCGGAAGAGGCGTCCTCAGCTCAGGTCGTATCCGTGCCTGCAGTTTGGGACCGCTTTCAACGTGCTTCCCCGGCAGCCGCAGCTCTGGTGGCGGCCTATCGAACTCTTCAGTCTGGGCGCGCAGTGCGGCTTTGATGCCCTTGATGTCCAAGGCAGCACCCAGCTGACGCACGACGGATTCGTGCGGAGGAACATTTGTCACTCTACCCTTGGCCTTCCTCGAGGAGACACCCGGGGGGCGTTGCACTGCAGTCTGAGACCAGCCATCCTCGGAAAGTCCCGTCACGTGGGCAGCGCCTTTCGCGGGCCAAGCAGGATGCGCAGCCCCTGGAACTCGGAGACCCATTGATTTGACGCCAAATTGTGGCAGGTTCGTGCGCTTGATGGGGTTCCTGGGCTTCTTGGGCGAGCAAGGGGTCGAGGAGAAGATGACCTGCCGCGGCGGGGGAGGGGCGGCTGCTTTGTTGGCAGGCGGCGCGGTTGTTTTGACAGGCTGTCCCGTCTGCGGATCCATCTTGGTCTGTCTGGCCTTTTCTGCCGCAGGCTTGGTGGATTTTCCGCGTCCTTTCTTGGGCGGTGTTTTCGTGTCTGGTATCGTTGTGGGCGGTGTTCGGAGGATCTCTTCAATCCTGCTGCCGATCCGCTGGCGGCTTTCGGGGTCTTGGCCAAAGGGTATCGCCACGATGAAGGATGCCTGCTTGCCCTTTGTGGTTTTAGACCTGCCTCCCGTCGGGGTCGTCGTTTTTGGCTTTGGTGGCGACCCGATGGTGCCTGTCTTGGGATTGAACTTCAGGACGCGCTTGGGCTTTGCCTCGTCTTGCAGAGGCTGCGATGGTTCGGCATCGGCTGCACTGGTGTTTGGTACAGCCACGTCGGCGAGCGGGCGTTCGCTTGCGGCCTGGGGGGTTGCCGGGCCCGTCGAAATGGACGGGGTGTCGGGTTCGTTCGCCCCGAGAGGACTGGACTTCGAGAGCGCCTCGATGATGGAAGGTCCGCTGGTCACTTGTTTCCGTGGGTTGCGGCGCTTTTTAGTGGTTGGCGTATTGGTGTCTTCGAGAGGGTCGGGATCGATCTTTCGTCGTTTCGGCGTCGGCCCATCATGGTCAGCGCCGGGCAAGGCGCCGACCTCTGCTGCTGGGTGTTCGCTGTTCGAGGCCTCCGAGGAGGGAGTGGGTCTGTCGGACCCGGGGGTGAAAAATGGATGAAGCTTCTTGGGGTCGGCGAAGGCTTCGGGGGCCATGTTGGCCACGAGGGTTCCCATGGGCGTCAATCTGTACATGGTCATGACACAATCAGCGCCGCTCTTCCTGTATGTATGCACTCGGCCGGGACGCGTACACGAGTCGATGCTAGTACTGCCGGAGCAGTGCTGGAGGTTCGAGCAATGCTGGCATTGGTGAGGTCTTGCAGGAACGAAGGAACAAACAGCTGGGTGTCGGGAGGATGGTCTAGGGTCTCCGCTGTACGGGCACACGGGTGCGGGATGAAGTATGGCCAAGTTGGAGGGCACGCTTGACGGTGGTGGTTGACGTGGTGGAGGTGGTGGTGGAGGTGGTCATGTCGATTCGAAGTCCCTGGTCGAGAGAGAGTGTTGGCAGGGGACGAAGTCGCGTCGAGCGCGACGTCCATGTGGAGCGCGTCTGCCCAGTGCACTTTACCAGATCTTATCGTTATCGGTGGCACGGTCTGTTGGTCTGTGACGCTCCCCAACCCCTCGTCCACGTCCGGTCAAGGAGGGGAAGGGACATGATGGATGGTAAAGTAGAAAGGAGGAAGCAGGCTCTCACCAACAGTAGCCAACAGTGCATTCTTCTTCCGACGATGAGAGTAGCCCATCTATTCTGATCTCAGGTTCAGCACCATGTCCATGCTGCTCCACATCTCGACCGGGTGGAGTAGAGAAGCAGTGCGCAGTGAGCAGTGAACAAGCGATGCGGTTACATTTCTGACCCAGCTACCATGGCCCCCGGCGCATGTTGCGAAGCGGTTGTACATGGTGCATGGATTTGTGGATGCAGCTTTTCGTTCGACATGGTTGCACGGGCAGACTTCATGCTCCAACGTAGAGACAGGACGCTGTTGCTCCTGGAGCGCTGACACGCTACCAAGGCTACTTCTGGCTCCTAGGCATCATGGAAAGGTGTGGCACAGTGGCCCTTCGATGACTGTCCATTGTTCACAGAAGCCGCTGCTCATGCAACGTATTGAATAGATGCATGGAAGAAATGCAGCTGGCGACTACAGCACAATGAGGTACCTCAGATGCCTTACCCTACCTACCACCTGGGGAGCGAGGTCCCTACCTTGCCTACCCTACCACCTAGGTACCCTACGACCTAGGGA